ACAAACTGGCCATTATGCCCGTTCCCCTATCAAAGAACATACCCTGAAGGGGCAGTTCAATAGGGTAGTGCAGGGTTAAAAGCATCATTAAGTCCTCCTGGTCTGCCACTAAGTCCCCCTGTGCTCTAATAATTTTGCAGGTGGGAAAGATGAACCTGGGTAATAAGTATTCAAAAAGAACAGCATTGATGTGCTTAAAAATAATTCTGCTGGGGCTGGAGAGATGGTTCAGAAGTTAAGAACACTGGCTGCTTTTCCGGAGGTCCTGAGTTTTTCATTTTTAAATGTTCTTAAAAATTGAACTTGGAGGTCCTGAGTTCAATTCCCAGCAATCACATGGTGGCTCACAACCATCTATAATGAGATCTGGTGCCCTCTTCTAGCACACAGACATACATACCGGCAGAACACTATATATATAATAAATATATAAATCGTTAAAAAAATAATTCTGGCAACATCTTTACTGTGTAAAATTTCCATCTACCCAAGTGTTCAGACTTGCAGTCTCCTAGCTCTGTTTAAATTGTTCAAAGTGTAACACCTGAAGATTTTAGAATGACAGCATATGTGGAATGTGTAAGCCTAAGGCCTATATAAGCTGGTAAAATTTCATTTGAAGATGGTTTCCTTTTGTGCATCAGCCAGCCAGAACCAGTTGAACACTATTAGCAAAGAGGTTTTTTTTTTCCCTTATTAATCTCCAAGTGTATAGGTATCTTTTATCACAAGTTAGTCTTTCTATTGTGGTGATGAAACACCATGACCCAAAAGCAACTTAGGGAGGAAAGGGTTTATGTGGCTTATACTTCCACATTACAGTCCATCATCAAAGGGAGTAGGTGCTGAAACCTGCAGGCAGGAGTGTATGCAGAGGACATGGAGGAGTGTTGCCTGCTGGCTTGCTCATTGTGGCTTGTTCAGTTTGTTTTCTTACAGCACCAGGACCATCAGCCTAGGTGTGGTCTCAAACACAGTGAATTGGACTCTTCCATATTAAGAAAATGCCCCTTAGACTTGTCTACAGGCCAATTTTATGGAGATATTTTCTCAAATACAATTCCCTCTTCCAAGATATGTTGAGGTTTGTGTCACGTTCACAAAACACCCCCAAGACATTGTTATAGTCTCACCATGTTATGATTAAAACATTGCAAAGTGATGCACAATTTTTACTAGTTAGTAAAAATTACTAACTAATTAATTAGTTAGTTTTACTAGTTAGTAAGGGATATTAAACCAACTCTCCGCACCCCACATGCTAGGAAAGCACTTTACTGCTGAGCGACATTCCCATCATGTTTTTTACATTTTATCTTGAAACACAGTTTCACTGCCCAGGCTGGCCTTGAACTCACTCCTTAGCTTAGGCAGGTATTAATCTTATGATTGTTTTTTCTGTAGTATTCCAAATAGCTGGAATTGCAGGCCTTCACCACATGACTAAACTCACCTTTAGATCACAAACACGTATATGAACAAATTCTCTAAATTGCAAAGAGAAGAGGCTAAAAAGCAAGTATGTTTGAATTCCTTATCTGTTTCTACATCTGGTGCCACCTTACATGAACACTTCACAGATCTCTCAAGTCATTTCAATTACAAACATTCCAACTCTGATTTTCCATGTTATGCTTTTATACATAATTATACATAATATACATATATATACATAACTAGACATAATATACATATATACATGTATATACACAATATACATAATTAAAACACAGGAGGAATTAAGAAAATGTTAGCTTTTCAAACAGATCAGGCTGAAAATTAAGAACTTTTTTTTTAAAGGATAGGGTCTCACACTGGCCTCTAATTCTTAACAATTTTCCTGTCTCAGCCTCTTGAGATCTGTCTGAGCATATAGGTGTAAACAACCACAACAAACTAATAACTGCTAGTTATTAGGCAAACATGAGAAGATCAAGAACATTCTCTAGGGAAAAATAGGTTTTCTGTTTATACAAAGTCTGTGTAAGTTAACTAACAACAGGAAAAACCAAAGGAAAAAGTAAGTGAAACAACTGGATTCTCAGTTGCTCTACCAGTCAGAAATCATGGCAGGAAGGACCAGATGGGGTGGCATACACCTGAAATCCCAACACTAAGGAAGTGGAAGTAGAAGGATCTACCTAATTTTCCTCTGCAAAACATAAATAGACTTAGAGGCTGGAATGGGTTACCTGACACCCCAGGGAAAGGAAAGAGGAGAGAGAAGGAGAAAGGAAAGGAAAATAATCCCAGGGTATGGTTTAGATGACTTAGACCCCTTAAACTATTTGCTTTAAGAACTTCTGTCCTAGCCTTCACATCTGGATTTCTAGGGCAAAAGCAGGCTTGACAATAGACTACATGAATTTGACTTTCCTGCCTAGCCATACTGCTTGTACAGTGCTTTCAGAGGCATTACATCATTAAGTCCCAGTAGCTCATTCACGTCACTATCAGTGACATTTTCCCTATTTTACAAGTGAGCAAAAAGAAGACATGAGTTATTTGAGGTCATGGACATTAAGTGTTGGATGGCAGAGCCAAGACACTAAGGGTTTTTCCCCCTGCTTTGCCTTTACATCTGTGGTAGTGGTCAGGGGATGATCAAGGAAGACCAGCATATACTATCTTCTTTTCTATCCATTTTCCTTTCTAAGTCCCTCCAGTTTCCATTCATTTAGGCTGTTGTGAAGAACACGCAGTTTGATGTCAGGAGAATAAAATTCTAGTCTTGGATATGACACTGAAGGATGTCTGGTCTCAGCTGTCCTACTAGTATTACTTCAAACATTTTATACTGTCTCACTTGACAATATAAAAATGCAGTTACAGTACCTATCAATTGTTTTACATTCATACAGAAATTTTGGATCAGAGCTACAGCTTGAAGAGATAATAAACAATGGTCTTATATAGGCCCATCTGGTGTTAATTCTCCATGTAGCAAAAGATGACTTTGAATTCCAGATCATTCTGTCTCTATCTATCATGTCCTGACATTCCAGGCACATCCAACAGCCCAGATAAAAGAGAAAAAATAAATCTGTGAAAGGTTAAGAGTAAATATTTAGGGTATGGCTTAAGACAGGCTGAGACTCTCACATTTAGGACTCTTTTCTGGTCTCTTAGAGAACATCTGAACTATGAGTGATTTTTGAAAAATCAAACATTTTGGATTTTTACTTTTCTTTTGGTAAAAGCAATTAAATCAGAGATACACACTGTTGTAAGAACCACAATAAATATTAATTTAAGGCTTTTTCATGTACCTCTACTTCCATTTAGTCTGAAATGACTGAATTCTGACTCTTATTGTGCTGCTAAATTTGCTGTCCTGTTGGAATCTGGGCCACAACTGTGCTAAAGTTCAAATCTCATTATAGATGGTTGTGAACCACCATGTGGTTGCTGGGAATTGATCTCAGGACCTCTGGAAGAGCAGAGAGTGCTCTTAACCTCTGAGCCATCTCCAGCCCCAGGACTTTTTTTTTTTGGCTTTGTTTTTACTGAATTCTAGAACCAAGAAAATCCTTACCCATATAAATTATTCAATTAATGCCTATCACAATTTTGACAGAGAAGTTGGCCTAATTCCTTTATATTTTTTCAATTCTGCCTGCCTGCCTCTTATTCTATTCCAGGAAATTAAAAAACAGTGACATCCTGCAAACTTATCAATTCTCAGCAAGTGTAGCATCTCTATAACCAGTGCGCATCTGGAATGCCAGGATCTGCTGTCTGGACAGAGTAAAGGAAATTGTCCTTTAATAGTATAAGTGTGGTAAAACTATACAAACACACACAAAGTATTTTAAAAAATATGAACGAGTGATGTGGTACAGAGTTAAGTAAATTAGTGAAAATAGAAAGGATGCTGCAAAATAGTGTGGGATTTGGGAAAGGGAAGGAACCAGAATGGGAATAGTATCAATTTTGAAGATGATAGGTAGTGTGGTGGCTTACAAAATCAATTTCTGTGATTTCTTTCTTTCAGTAAGGTAGCGAAGAGCGGCCTTGAACTCCTTTCTGATCCTTCTCCCACACCCTTCCTACCAAGTGGATTATAAGCTTGCACTAAATCACCTATCTAAATTTAGTGATTTTTTTCAGTCAAGCTATTAAAAATGGTGTGCCATTAGAATGAAATACACAGAATGCATAGTATGGATAGAAATGCTTTTAGCAAATATTTTAAAATATGCATGACTCTATAGTGTATAATTATTATACATTAAAAAATGCAAGTGCAATGAGAACACAAACACCAGTCTCAGGCTGTGGTGAAAACTATTTCTCACTGTGGATCCAGCCCGAAGTTTGAAAGCCGTTAGAACACATGCCTCCAAAGGATCTAGGCAAGGTAAATTCAAGGTCAAGTGAGAATCCCATTTTGCTCCCAACCTACTCCATAGTGGTTAACAGAGAGAGGAAATGGCGCATCGGGGAGGGCATACTACAGTGAAGCCAAGCAAAAAGAACAAGAGCACATCAGGACCTGGAGGTGTCTGGTACTTCCTTAGTGGCTGGTCAAATTGCAGCCCTGGGAGACAATGATTTGAAATGTTTTCCTTAAATGATAAACCAAAATAAGTTCCACACTTTTTGTCCCTGGCCTACAAAGGTGAGGGATTCACGTGGCTCCCGCGGCTGGTCGCACCCCGAATCGATCCCGGTAGAAGAGTTTGTTATTAACTAGGGCTCAGAGTGCGAAAAAGAAAGAACCGGTTGTCCATCAGGAGACTCAGGTCACATTCTGCACAGCCTACCGGAGAGGGAACAGAGAGTTCTGCACTTCGGATTCCTTCCGCAGACAAGAGCTTCAGAGCCTGGTGCAAACGGCAGGGCCCAGCGCGGGGGGTGGGCTCTTTTATGTTCCCAACCAATGGGCAGAGGCCGCTAAGCCTTAGTTTGGATAAAGGAGACGCTTCTCCCGCCTCCAACCACGTGATCCGCCTCTCCAACCACTGGCCCCGCTGTGCGCGGACTCCGCCCCCGTGACGTCTCACTGCTCTTGCATTGGCCCACTGCTGGTTCTTTTTCTGTAGACGCTCAGCGGCCTCCCTGAAGACAATGTCCGCCCCTTTGCCATGCCCCCCAAGCCTCAGAGTGCTGGCCGGGGCGGGGCCTAAGGCGGAGAGGCGTGGCGACGCGGCCAGGCGCGGGTAAAGGGCCTGCCTAGGAGCGGCGGGAGCCTTCAGGAGAAGCGCGCTGCTTTGCTCTTGGCTCTTACTCCTCCTCCCTCCGCAGCCCTCCACAGTCACCCCGGAGACCGGCCCTGTTAAGCTCTCCAAACTAAAGCTGACTGATTTCCATGGCAGCCGCGAAGAAAGCAGTTCTGGGGCCATTGGTGGGAGCAGTGGACCAGGGTACCAGCTCGACACGGTTTTTGGTGAGCCCAGGGTGACATCTCCTCAGCTCCTGAACTGGGACACTAGCTGGAGGACGGAAAGGCGCGGTGTTCCGTCCTCAGTCCTCTCTTCTTTCTCTCCTTGGCCCTGGCTGCTGGGGCTAGAGGAGGGGAGGCCAAACAGGGGACCTACCATTCTGAGGTTGCCCTGTCCTGGCCTGGGGGCATCTTGGCCTTCCAAGACCAACCTCTCAACAGAGTTGAAGAGTCTTAACCTTGGTGGTGGACATAGGTCACATACCAATGGGGAGATTCTTTTCCCAAAGAGAGTGAGTACTCTTGGAGCATAAACGCAAAGCAACCCAGGTGCACTAGGGGACAGGTGGAAACACTGACACTGCTGCAGTCTTTCCCAGGAGCTTTTGGCCTGCTAGGCACAGGAAGGACGTCCTTGGATGGAGGTAAAGCTGTGTCATGGCTGTGGTAACCCAACATAGCGTGCTTTCGAGCGGTAGAACGAATAAAGTATTAGAGTGATGCATTGTCATCCTCTTCCACAGAAATTGCAGAGGATAGACTACTGAGTGGGTGGCAGAACAAATTAGGAAACAGAAACATTGCAATTATTTTATGTAATCTTTAATTCATTCCAAGAGCTTAATAACTTTGCCTATTACCATCAGATATTTATTGACCCTTCTGCTTGACTGTTTAATGTGACAAGGCAATTCTATTTAGTATGCATGACTAGAATTTTACCATAAAGACATGCTTTTAAAATAACTCTCTGCTGATTAGTTTTGCAATTAGACCGTTTAGCTTTCTTTTCGTTTTGTTTTTTGAGACGGGGTCTGCCTATGTACCCCAGAAATGCCTGGAACTCATGCCTCCTGACTCAGCTTGGCAATCATTGGGATTATAGTTGTGCGCCACTACTCACTCACAGCTGGGAAACTTGCTTTTTAAATGATCTAGCATTCCGTTCAGTGAGATCATTTAGAAGTAATTTAAGTGAATAGAGTGCTCATAAAAGCCCATGCGTCAGTGACAATTGACTAACCTGGAAAGTTGATGTAAATATTTAGTGATGAATTAACTCCCTCTTTATTTATCAAACATAATTTTTTCTCAGTTATTTCCTTGTGCCTGTAGCATGGTAAGCAGGCACTCTACCAGTAAGCTACACTCCAGCTCTTCCTGTATTTTATACATATGTGTGTATGTATGTGTGCGGTGTGTGTGCCTGCACACATACACGTGTATTTTTTTTCAACTAGCACTTGGCTAAAACCTGCATTGTGTTGTGATCGTGAGAAGTCTTTTTTTGTAAATTCAGTCCACTTTCAATTTAAATCTTACTTAGTGACAACCCTGGCTTGAGTTTCCCAACCATTGTTTCACATCTGCATTAAAAAAATTTTTTTGGTCGCAAAAGGTAGGTTTCATTTTCATTTTGCCTTATATTCATATAAGTGTTTATAAAGTAATCCTTATTCACAAATAAGATAGTCTGCTTAACTGGATTTGATTAACATATGAACTACAAAATCATCATTTTCTGAGCTTATTAAAACAATCCATTTACTGAAAATCTAGACTGTTTTTTTAGTATTTATTTTAATGTGTGTGTGGGTATTTTGTCTACATGTATGTCTATAATCCATTTGTGTGCCTAGTGCTCGAGGAGTCCAGAAGAGGGTGTCAGATCTCCTGGAACTTGAGTTAATAGACAATTGTGAGCAACCCTGTGTTGGCAATCAAATGAAGGTCCTTTGGAAGAACAGCTGGTGCTCTCAGCTGCTAAGCCGTCTCTCCATGAGCTGATTATTTTAAGACAATATCTTGCTATGTAGCTCAGGCTGTTCATAAATTCAGTATGTAGCACAGGGTGGTCTGAAACTTGTAGCAATTCTGCCTCAGCCTGTAAGTACTACAATTATGAGCACAAGTCACCACAATTAGCCAGGCTGGTTGAATTTTGAAGGCTCAGTGGATGGATAAAGGTGTTTGCTGTCAATCTTAATGATCTGATCTAGATCCCTGGGACCTACAGAGTGAAATGGGAAACAACTCTCACAAGTTGTCCTCTAGCCTCTGCATGTGTGCTGTGGCATGCACACACACCATGCAAATAAATGTAATAAAAATAATTTTAAAAATTTGTCATGCTAATAGCTGTAGGGGCAATAGTGTACCAGGTCAAGGAGATGACAGCTGTCACTGCAAATGAGGAAGACAAGCTCATTGATACTAGATCTTCCACTTACTTTACTAAAAGCTGGTGCTTTAGAGTCTTTGGCAAACATTCCTGCTTTTTTTCTCCTTCTCCCCCCCCCCCCGCCCTTTGAGACATGGATGTCCTGGACTGGCTTTGTAGACCAGGCTAGCCTTGAACTCACAGAAATCTGCCTCTTCCACTTGAGTGCTGGGATTAAAGGCATTCACCACCACACCTGACTTCTTAGTACTGGTGAAGCCAAACCAAGCATGCTAATTGTTTCCAAGTTTGTATAGCCTTTGCCCTATATGAATGTGAGTAAAGTATTTGTTAACTTTAGAGGTTTCCTTAGGAACCAGCCTGAATAAGCTGGCCTTCATTTTGATCTTCATAGTGTTACCTATGTAGTCCAAGCACTGCAGGTTATTTCTGGTCCTTCATATTTTGTTACATAAAGTCATCTTTTTACATTGATAGAGAATGAATTTATATCAAATTCATAATGTTCTAATCATGTGTCAGTTTGTAACATGAACAACATTAAGTTTCAGAAGCTGGGTATGGAGGTATATGCTTGTAATCCTGGTAGGTAGAGGCAGAAGGATGAGAAGTTCAAATAATCTGCCATTAGGTCAGCCTGGGCTATATGAGACCTATCAAAAACAACAACGAAACCAAAACCACTGCCAGGCATTCCTGTCACATACCTTTAAATCCAATACTTCTGAAGCAGAAGCAGAGTTCAAGGCTAGCATGGTCTATAGAGTGAATTCCAAGACAGATAGGACTACACAGAGAAGCCCTGCCTCAGAAAACAAAACATAACAAAAACAAAAACAAACACCAACCAAAGAAGAAAAAGAACAAACAGAAATTATGTTACAAACTGGGAATGTTGATCATTGGTAGAGCACTTACCTAGACTATTTAAGGCCCTAGGTAGATACTAAAAACAAATTTGGTTGCATTTATCGGGCTCTCTATGAGTGTGCTAATTATGTTCAATTTCAAAAGATTCCTCCCTGCATGGAAAAAGATGTATAAAAATTAAAAGTCAGATGTGGTGCCTTATGCTTTTTTATTATGGTTTTTTTTTTTTAGATTTATTTTTATTTGTGTATGTGTGTGTTTCACATGTATGTGGGTCCATTTGGAGGACAATGAGTTCCTGGAGCTAGAGTCCCAGGCATTTGTGAACTTAATGACACAGGAGATTGGGACTGAAGTTGGGTCTTATTAGAACCGTTAAGCCATCTCTCCGATCTGATGGTACACATTTGTAATCCCAGTGCTTAGAAAGCTGAGGTAGGAGATTGGTGAGAGTTCTCTGGGCTATTCAGTTCTAGGCCAACTTGAGCTACATAGTGAGACCATGTATCAGAAAACAAAAATAAATAAACAATAACTAAAAATAACTGTTAATGGAGAACACTGTCTATTCCTTAAGAAACAAGTATTAGAAAAATGTTTCAAAGGCCAACTGGGAAAACTTGGGAATGGTTTAACAAGGTAGTGTTCCCTTTGGTTATAAACTGCTCCCTGGGGAATGAAGATAGGGGATCTGCTGAGTAAGTGCTTCAATCATAAGGTGATTCCCAGGAGATGTTTCTATGTTACTGCTCCATGTTGTAATGATGACTCAAAAATAATTGCTTACATTCTCAGGAAAGGGTACAGTGTGTAGGGATTGTTATAGAAAGCTCACAAAGGTAAAGAGAATTACACAATCTAATTAGTCTTAATTTAATTTGCATATTTAAGTTATTAGAGACCAATAACCCTCTTAAGCTTTGTTCTTCTCTTATTAGGATAAAAAATTATTAGTATTAAAAATATATTTTTGCTTTTTCATCCAAAGTGACTGCCTCTTCCCCTATGTCCCATATCTCTTTCTTATGGTTCTCTTCTACCAGTAAATAATAGTTCAGCAACTATCTTAGTAGTTTTCCTCAAACCTTAATCAGATCTTTCCCCTCTTCCTATAGCACTTATTTACTTTTTTTTTGTGGTGCTGAGGATCAAATGCAGGGCCTCACACATACTAAGCAAGTGCTCAACCACTGAGTTCCCCATCCCAACCCTGTACCTCTTTCATACTACTATCGCTAGCCTTATCCCCATTACCTCTGTATTTAATTATACACCTGTTATATTTGGAAAAGGGGCCTCTATGCAAGCCCTGTTCATTCTTGTATTCCTTAAAAAGTTTTAATCATCAGTATAGCAAATAAACTTGTGTTTTGTTGACGGACAACAATCAATTTATTTTTTTTAAAGAGTTATTTATTGGGGCTGCCGCGATGGTTCAGAGTTTAAGCGCACTGGCTGATCTTCCAGAGGTCCTGAGTTCAATTTCCAACAACCACATATTGGCTGATAACTGTCTATAGTGAAACCTGGTACCCGCTGCTAACATGTAGCAAGAAAGCTTTATTTTACATAAAGAGTGTACTATCTGTAGGTCACTTGCATGCCAGAGGGCATCAGATCCCAGTGTAGATGGTTGTGAGCCACCATGTAGTTGCTGGGAATTGAACTCAGAACCTCTGGAAGAGTGCTCTTAATCACAGAGCCATCTCTTTAGCCCAAGCCACCAGTTTATTAAATTGAGATATTTGTTATTCTTTGTTTTCTATGAAACAGGTTGGTTTTGAACTCACTGTGGAATAGGAATGACTTTGAATTCTTGATCCTTCTTTCTCTACTTCCCAAATACTTAATATTACAGGATATTATTACAGGTTATATTATAATAGCATATCTGGCTATTACATAGATTTTAATTTTTCCTTAAGAGATCAAAATGACTTTTAATTAAGGTTTT